AATTTTTTCTTGTAGAGTTTCTTAGAAGCTAGCATGGCAAGTCAAGCAACTAACAATTATATTAAATAGTTGGTAAGTATTATCAATATGGTAAAATATTTTATCTCTATGACTTCTAATTTGTATTTCATTTTTTATATAGACTTGAAGACTTGAAGCAAATGAATTATTGATATGAATCGTCGAAGTTTTACTAGTAGTATTTACTTTTTGGTATTTGTATCTGATAACTTGTTATTTATGTAATTAAATTAGATTATATTAATTTGTAAAAGTTAAGATTGAACTTGGTATTTGTATCTACTTTTTGTTATTAATATTAGTATCTATTTTCAGGTGTATTTATATAGTGTTATTCTAAATGTTAAAATAATTAATTATAGTACGAAATCGAATCGAANTTAATATTAGTATCTATTTTCAGGTATATTTATATAGTGTAATTCTAAATGTTAAAATAATTAATTATAGTACGAAATCGAACCGAACCGAACCCGAACGGTTCCAAAATTATATCTGGAACTGACGGTACCATTTATTAAATACCCGAAAATTTCTGAAACCAAACAAAATCGAATCGAACTGAAGGACCCGACCCGTGCCGAGCCCTATAAGAAAATGAAGGTTAAATCAAAATTGGCATCATTATTTGCTGTTGCTAATGATCTAATTAATTTAATTGGTGATCAAAGAGTAACGTAACCTCTATAATGTACAAGGGAAAAAAAAGTTATATAGTTAATCTTAAATTTACTAAAAATAGAATTTAATTGAATATTGTTGTACATCGTAATAAAGGTCATTATCATACTTCAATATGGCAAGTTAGCGGTTTGATTACTTTCCCTATAGCATAACTTCCATTTCTGTTGGAAAGATTGTTTCTTATTCCGTGAGACGGTTTTAGCAAGCCCCGTTACAAATGGTGCCAAGTCTTGCTAGCTATCAACGTGAACCAATTTTATTTCTTGATTTTCTACCGAAAATTAATTTAATAAATTAGAAAAATTACTTGACCCACCTGGTCCGACTAGGACCGAGCCATCACAGGTTCAACATATCAAAATCATAAATCATGTTTGCAACTAATTTTGTAAAAGTTCTTTTTTTTTTTTTTTTATAACTATTAGTGTCCGAACCAACTTGCACACACCTCGACATTACGGCCGAATACTCACCTCAGTGGCCCTGAAGGAATTGTAAAAGTTCTTTTAATAGTTAGAAGAGCTTTTAGATGAAACTGTTCAACGTGACTTCCTCTAAAAATACTTCTAAAATAGAAAACTCTTTTAAAAAATAGCTTCCAACAAAAAAATTAAGATAACTTCCTTCAAAAGCTCTTCTACCGAAAGTAAAAACAAATACAAAAGTAAAAGTCGTGTCACTCAAACCAACCATCAATTTGAAATATGACTTCACCGTTGGCATATACCAATATTTATATTCATATTTCAGCTAGTAGAACCAAATGACGCGTATTGAAGATTCTTTTCCTACTGACTTATATTTTTTTCTTTAACACAATCATTAATATGAAATAAAACACGATTCGTTTGGAGTTTGAATTGGTCAGTACGTGCACCTGTCAATGAAAATCTATGGGCTTGCTTGTTTCTCATGCATAAAAAGACTTTAGAAAAGTAAAATTAATACCATTTTCCGAGTAAAAAGTCTGTTCGAGAAGTATTTATAAATTGTATAAATTATAAATAGATTGAAATTAGTTGTGGATAAATTAAAGGTACTTACGGAATGTGGGTCCTTCGAGAGAGAGCAGATGCTTTAAAGTTTTAAGGTTTAAAAAGTTGTAGACTGTATTTAAGTGGAGCATTAGGGTCGACATGATTTTAGCGTTTTATGTACATAATACTATTACTCACTTCCACACATTCTCACTCCAACTCTGTCCACAATTTATGAGAGAGGTTTTGGTGATTTGAATTGGTCAGCATTTGAAAACTCGGTCTCTTAGTCAAAAATCAACTCTCCCACTGTTTTTCCACGTCTCTTTCTGTTCCTAATCAATCCTAAAAGGTGTCTTTAAATTCAGATTCCTCAAATTATATTTATGTCATAAGCTTCAGCTGTGCTTCTGTATACAATCCAAGACGAAGACAAGCAGAGCGTCCTAGGTCATAGAGAAGGTTAAGGAGCGCATTTCACAAACTCCTGATGTTACTGTAAACGATCAAATCCACCAAGTAAAAGAAATGGAGAATACTTCTACCTCAGAATACATGGCGCTGATCAACGAACTGTCTCAAGGAATGGAGCAAGCTAAACAGCTTCGATTTCATTTGAACTTGACGTCCCCTTGCGAAGCTCATGACTTTCTTCTGCAAGGGATATTATCTTCTTATGAAAAGTCTCTGATGATTCTCAAGTCGAATGGAACTGCAGGACAAGTCGAAGCAACATCTTCAGTATCTGTTGATGGAAGTTCGTACAGTGGGGATCTGAACAACAATTTAAAGATTCATCAGGAACATAAAGATACACCGAAGAGAAGGTAAATTTACCTAAGATGAAACTTTCTGCAACTAACATTTCCTGGCAATAAGTTAAAAAGAATTTTCATCTGAAATTTTCTGCCAAATCTGTTGGTTGACTGGTGTTGCAGAAAACATTCGCATACATGGACAGAACTAGTGAGAATTAACTCGGAAAATGGGCTAGAAGGACCTACAGATGACGGGTATAATTGGAGAAAGTACGGGCAGAAGGACATTCTGGGAGCTAAATATCCCAGGTATAGTGTGCCAAATGCACCCACATCCTACATAGAAGGAACCAAAGCCTCCCATTAACTAGTTAAACATCTCTGTCCACACACAAACAAAGAACAAAATTCCAGGAAAGTTAAAATGAATTTTAACAGGTATATTTATATTTGCAGAAGCTACTATAGATGTACATACCGTCATCTTCAAAACTGTTGGGCAACAAAGCAAGTGCAGAGATCTGATGATGATCCTACTACATTTGAGATCACATACAAAGGAACACATACGTGTAACCATTCTGCTAATGGAGTTCCACAACCAGCATCAATTGAAAAACAAGAATCGAGACATTATTCTCACAACCATCGACCACAACAGAACCAGACGCTTTTGAACTTTCAAGCAAATCATAGAGTCGACATTGGAGACTTGGAGAAAACTGAGAAGCCCTCTCTCTTGTCGTTGCCCTCAACATTTGGATGCTTAGAAGGAGAAAATCATAAGTTTCCAATCTCTACGTTTATTAATGACAATAACTTCGAATCCTATTCTCAATTTATGTCAGAATCAAATTACTTACCATACCAGAGGAACAGCTTTGAGGGTGCTCATAATTTACAGTACTCAGAATCTGATGTTGCTGTGATAATATCAGCCAACGCTTCGACGACCTATTCTCCAATCGCAACCATGGAGTTTCCAGTTGAACCTTTAGATTTGGATCCAAATTTTCCGATCAGCATCTCAGGATTTTTTACATAATCCTAAATTTGATGTTGCGGAAGAGGACAATATATAGAAGATAGCATGATTTTGCACCACAGTATTTGATCCTTCTCACATTAAAAACCAGAGACATTCTTGTAAAAATTATTTACAGTCTCAAAATGCTAGCAGATAAATTATGAAGTAAAATATCTATTTATAATGAAACTCTGCAGCCTAATTTTCATTTAAGGCTGCTCAGTCAGTTTCTTGAAAATTTAGCATAGCCTAGCACGGAAGGTTAGCAATTCAGATTGAAAAGGGGTTCCATAAATGAAGGAAACCTGTGCAGCTTCACAACTAATGAACAAGAACAAAGCATTAGAATTAACTGTTAATCAAGATTAGAGCAAGTTTGACTAAGCTCAAAAAGATTACCCATAAACACCAAGTAATTAATCTTATATTGATCAGTTGGAAACAATTAAGAAACTTATTTTGACATTACGGAAAGAGTGTTTACAGTATTTAACTTTCTTGACTTGAATGAAAAAAAGGTAACTCGACCAAACGTGTTTGGAAACAATTTTCAATTATATATAAGCTGTCAAACATGCTCTCACAATTATTTGCATTTCATAAGCACTACAAAAGATTCAAAAAATTTAAACAGATAGATGCAAGAAAGAGTGCCATAAACGGGAAACTGAGAAAGATATGCACAAAATAAATCTGGCACAATCTATAAAGCCAATCTTGATGATGTAATGCAGCATAAAGAAACTCAATGCAACTAATCTTGGCTCAGCTCAAAACACAGCGTCAGGAGATTCTCCACAATTTATAATACAAAATAAATTATCCGACAACGAAGAAACTGGAATTGTAATTTAATTCTCATAAGAAAATTACAGGACTAATAACTGAATAGCAAAATGGACTTTGCACAAGTAAGCAACCAGTAAAGTGATTCTTTAACCATAAAGAATTTTGTTCTGATGATCCATCCAAAAGTTTCAGTAACGCAATCATAGACGACGAAATCATAACATTGTATAGCCAATCACCAGATTCCATCATCTCCACAATTTTATAGTGTAAAGCAAAATCATTCAAATAACAAAATGGATATAATCTGTATTTTAATTCTACTTAAGAAAATTATAAGAGTAACTTAATAACAAATGTACTTTGTATAATTAATCAATAAACCCTAGTTAGTATCACTCCAAGCAAAAACTAGTCAGTTCCACAAAATTCAGCCTTCTGATCCTCACCGTTGCTTATAGTCTCCGCTGCTTGCGCCCCCACCTTGCTCTTTATTTTCTGAATTGCTGACTCGAGTTCATCAAGCTCAAAAAGCTCTAAATTTCTAACTCCATTATCCCAAGCCGCCCTTCCTTTCCCCATCAACTCCACAATCTTCTTCTCGGCCTCGGATATCGACGCCGCCACCACCTCATGTTCGTTTCCCTCGATTCCAGTGTTAGTGCTCGCCGGAGAAGAAGGACCCGCGGCATACCTATTCACCACGGACTCCACAGAAGGGTGGCCGAAGAAAAAGGCGTTTCCCGCCTTGGAAAAAGTGAGAACCGCCGCTTCAGCTTCACACATTGTGCACAAAACTTTGGTTTTCTTGAAGAGTCCTTGACGTCTCTTTGTGAAAGTTGTGTACATCCTCGATTTCTCCTCGATTTTCTTGATTTCAACCCTTCTGCGCACCATGATTTTTACCCTTATTCTGAATTGAGAAATTTGCAAGAAAAACTTGACCGGTAGAATTTGAATGAGAGACAATTCAAATAGACAATTGCTAAATTCTCTAATTGGCAATTATATAGGCCCTAATGGGCCTGACCACCCATTAGTTGACCTAATCCCAATGGGCCTGGGTGGACCTAACATGGGCTGGTATGTCCTAAAATACAAAAGAGGAAATTACACTCACCCCTACTTTTAAATTATCATTTTCAAAAATCCTGAATCAAGTTTCATATTACAAAAATCCAGTTTTAATTAATAATTTAAAAACATTTTTTTATATCTAAT